ACACATTAGCTATGTTCTTCTTTTTTTATAAAAAAGAAATATAAGGATTACCAATCAGTTACATTTTTTTTTCATTGTTGTAAATTTAAAACATAATTGCCAAGCTAGTAATTCACTGAGAATAATCACAACTTTAGATAACATTTCTGAATAAATAAAAACAAAGAACATACTTGTCTGTGAACACTATACGAGAAAAATACATATACAAGATATCCATTCCAGCAATTCTTACAATGACTGTTACAGGGATAAGATGTTTACATATATTTGCATGAATGTGTACATAATTTTTGTTCGGTGCTTTTTCTTTCAACACGTGTGATTGACATTGTTACAGCTTTTAAATGCTATACCTAGGGTAGCTTCATAATTTTTTTTTATATTTGTCCAAAAACTTATTTTATTACAAATAAAAGTTGATATATATATATATAATATTGATTAATCTTAGTTATTCCCTAGGCCTGGAATGATTTGGTGGTTAGGGTGCTTGAATTTGTAAACTGAGGGTCGCCATTTCAAAGCTGCATTGCTGAACATGCTCATCCTATACAGTTGCCAACTGGGCCAGCCACCAGGGTGTAAAATTTCTTGGCTTATAAAATTACTGGCCAACCCGGAAATACATATACAGCTCAAACATTAAGACCAGAAGACACTAATGCTAAGAAACCAGCTTAGAACATACAAACTACTGTCTGATAACATAGGTAATCTTGCTTTGAAGGTTTTTATATGAAGTGCTATAAATCTTAATCTGTTATGAATATTATGATGTTTTAAGTAAAAATAATTTATATATTTCACTAAATCTTATAATTCTGTGTAACATATTAAAAAGGGCTACATATATTTTATAACACACACAAGAAAATGGGAATTGAAAGTTTCTGCGTAATTAAACATAAATTAAAACTTAGTTGTTTTTCAGACTTGATTTTAGGTTTCTAAGTGTTCAAAGTATCGATCAGATTTTTAAATGAACTTTTACTAAAATAAATAGATGAATAAACCACAAACTTAGAAATTCATGACTAAAGGTTGAGTAGGTTATATTAAAACAATTATGAATAAGCAAATTACCAAGTCACATGACAAACATAACTCCCATAATGCTGCAGTGAAATGACATATATCAGAATTACATTTTCCCACTGACAATTTTCCCAATTACTTTTTCGAAGGACATGTAACAGTTTTTTTCCAAAACAAAATATTCATACACTCAATCATAAAGATGTGTTCAGATAGGAGATTTAAAATTTCCAATACAGAGACTTCCCTTGTACCTAATGGCATTGGATAACAAAGGAATATGAATCAACTTGGGGCTGTAGGACCATCCACAAAGAGACCTGCAAGAAGTTATACACCAGCCATGGTAAGCAAAGTGGAACATCTTGTAACAGCTAAGACTTCCTGAGCAGAAAAATCAGTGGGAAATGCTGCCCACATGTCCCACACAACATAATCAAGAAAGGTCTTCATTTGGAAATAAGGCACAGGGTATGCATTCACTAATGTAAGGACTCCAGTCATACCTCCTATTCAACTATAGCATAGCTCAAGGAACTGGAGAATGAAATGGGCATTCATGCTATTCCATTTAAGAACATACTAGTCATGTTACCAGATGCAGCACCTAAAAATTTCTGTATGATCTACTTTTTAAAATGAGAACTGTCAAACGAATGTCCTCTTTATACTAAATGGATTATGGAATGCCTTCAGGAAGCAGTAGCATGTTTTGGGCAAGACAGTCTTATGACAGAGGATATTGCAATGGAAACTAGGCTGCATGGCTATTATCAGGATTTGTGGGCAAAGTCATCAGGTAGAGCATGACCAGACATGGTGCCATGGACTATGGCAACCTGGTGAAATGTGGAAACCATTTTAATATAATGTACTCAACCCTCTGTATAGCAAATCTTTTTAATTACCACATGTCTTGTACGTCAAGCACTTCCTAAATCCAAAACTTAATTACTACAAAACTGCTTCTGTATGTTTCTAATTCAGTTCAAACATTAAATCTTCTTAAAACAGCTTCCTGTTTTAATTTTTGTAAAACAATTTTGTTTCATTTTCTTTTATCTAAGCAAATGCATTGAAATTCCCAGTATGCCACTTTACAAAACATGAGCAAATTACACCTACAGTTAATATCTAATAATCAAGTGTATAATACATTAAGTAAAGCAGTGTATACTTACTTCATCTATAACATTAACCCTGAACTGCCAGTAATTTACTAAAATATCAGGATATCAGAAATATACAAGATTTTAAGGAACCCTAATGTAGCTTTCTACAAATATTCAAACAAATGTTGTCTTATGCTATTATAAAGATGACTAAATGCATTAACCAGTCCATGAAAGAAAATATCAGTAACATTAATAAATCAAAACTAGAACTTAAATGCAATAAATGAGTTACTTATTTCATAGTGAGCAAGCTATTTTGAGCAGCTTGACAACAGTTAAGATTCTGAAGTTTTACATCAAGTGCAGGGTTATTTCTAAAGCTATTCATTTTCAGCTACAGGGTAAAAACACAAATTTAAAAGAATAATACATAAAAGCCCTTAAGCTGTCACTTATACAAAGCCACAACTTTACAGTCACATGTAGTTGAAACAAGGCCTAAGTAAATTTTGTTTGGTATAAAAAAGTATATATATAATTTAGAAAATGAGAGAGGAAACATGATGTATATTTATTTAGTGAATTTAGACTTCTAAGAAGATTGTAGTAATAACATAATACATTTGCAAGTCTAAGCTTTAGTGAATATCAATATTTTGCTTGTTTTTTTAGAATTTCATGTTTAGGGTTAATTAGAATTCTTACACTATGAGAGAGAACACAAGACTAAAAATGAGCAGTCACTACTATGAACTGTCCTTACCAAACATTTTTATCTATTTAAAAATCAAGTTTTGTACTTGTATTTAACTTTGAATTCACAAACTTCTTGTATTTACTTCTCAACACAACTCCAAACCATAATGATTTCAACCTTTTTGTTTACCTGTCAACATTATTTCTGACCATAATGATCTCAACACTTTTCTACACCTGTCAATATTATTCCAGACAATAATGATCCTAATAATATATTTTGTTTACCTTTCACTATCTCCTGACCATAACAATCCCAACAATATCTTTTGTTTACCTGTCACCATTACTCCTGACCATAACGATCCTAATAATATCTTTTGTTTACCTGTCAACATTATTCCTGACCATAATGATCCCAACAATATCTTTTGTTCATCTGTCAACATTACTCCTGACAATAACAATTCCAACACACTTTTGTTCACCTGTCAACATTACTCCTGACAATAACAATTCCAACACACTTTTGTTCACCTGTCAACATTACTCCTGACAATAACAATTCCAACACACTTTTGTTCACCTGTCAACATTACCCCTGACAATAACAATTCCAACACACTTTTGTTCACCTGTCAACATTACTCCTGACAATAACAATTCCAACACACTTTTGTTCACCTGTCAACATTACTCCTAACAATAACAATTCCAACACACTTTTGTTCACCTGTCAACATTACTCCTGACCATAATAATTCCAATTATCTCTTTATTTTATCTGTCAATATTATTCTCCGCCATAAAAATTCCAACATTGTCTTGTCTTTATTTGTAACATTATTCCTGGTCATAATGAATATACACTGAGTGGTCACAAGTAAAGAGACACCTAATTTTTTGTCATTTAAC